ATAAAATTATGTTTAGGCTTTGAAACTTTTTTCGAACCCCTCTACACATATTTTTCTCGGAACATGAACATAACTTTTTCATGTTGATGAAATTTGAACAAATCATGCTGAATATGCATATTTATCTTATGGTACCTTATCATGAAATGTATAAGTATGTATAATTTAATTTAATTGATCTAATTCTGTAAAAGAATACAAAAACAGTCTTTAGTTTTCCACAGTTCTGTATTGTCTTAAACAGAATCAAACACACAGAGACACAAATACAGAGACACACAGTGTGAAGATTTATTCCAGTGAAGAAGCTCTGGTCTCTGCCTGTGGACACAGGAATAACACATGATGATCACATTCTGATGATCTACTCTGTTCTACATGTTTAAATACACTTAAAGCACTTATTACTACAATAACGGACCAGAACAGAATCACAAGAACATTAGAACTGTATCTGCAGAAACAAAACTCACCATGTGCTTTTCTTCCTCTAAACACAGTAACAGGGAGGGCATCTGGTATAAAGTCTCCTAATGCCACATCACCTTGTACAAGTACGATAACTGTTTCAATAGGAAGTTCATTTTGAAAAATTTTAAAATAATTTGAGTTGGTTTACTTACTTTGTTCATCTGTGCTCTGTGTTTTGTTGGTTCTCAAACTTCTTCCTTTTTTCTGAAACATCAGCTGTAACATTCATGAACTTCCCCACAGCTCCAGCAGAGCTCTGGATGTCACTCTTTGTTTGTAGACGACTCTGGAAGCAACACATGTAAATCTTAGTACAACTGTCACACTCTTGTAGATGGACAGTCAAAAACAATTTGTTTCAAGGAGTCCTTACATTAACTCTAATTTCAAATAAAACAACACAAACATGTTTTAACAATGATGACATTCTAGGCCGGAGAAGCACATAATAAAATCTTTAAAAAGTCTCACCTCCAGATCAGCTCTCATGATCCTCCTGCTCCACACTGTGTGTCCTCTGCTCCTGGAACTGTCCTGTGTCCTGTTACATTTGAATTTTCCCTCCAAAAGTTTTGGGGAGGAGAATTCCAGAGGGAGGAGCCTCACCAGAAATTAGAATAAAGTCATGTTTCCTCAACCTGATTAAAACATGCAGGTCTCACATCGGCCACAATCAAGCGATGTTTGTAAGATTTAAACATGCTGGACAGAGAAACGTAAAAAAAGTGATGTTATTGTTGTCAAATTTGTTTTTGCAATTTGAGCAACCCCTCTCGGACCGTTTTTTCAGTGTATGGACTTCATGTGTATATTTAGTGAAAAACAGCATTTGGAGCTAGTCTGTGCTCTATACTCCAGTGGAGCTGGAGTATAGAGCAGTTAGCAGTTTGCAGTTTGCTGGAGTTTGCTTTCAAAGATCAGTTTTTCACGTGAAATCTGTGCTCCTCCTGTGCCTGTGCAACATTACTCCGATGCCTTGAAGAGGGGTGTTAAGCAAAATGGTCTTTTTGGAGCTTTCTACCATGTTAGAACATTGTTCTCTCCTCAAAAACCTGTCTGAAGAGGTTTTAGATGTCAAACCCTCCTCATGGTTAGCTGTAAGATTCTGTACAAGGCTCCACCCACAAGCATCACCCATGCTCCTGCACGACTATTCTCCATAAACAGTGTTGGGAAGGTTACTTTAAAATGTATTCCCCTACAGATTACAGATTACATACCCCAAAATGTAGTTTGTAACTTAATCCATTAAATTACTTAAAGTGAATAACGTAATCTGAATACTTTGGATTACTTGATTTGCTGTAGAGAAGCAAAGACGAGGAAATTGTAATATAAAATGTTTTGTCTGCTAAAAGAAAATAAAAAAGCCCAGACTTTACAGAACCAAATTAAAAATATTATTGATAGAAGAGAAGGAGACATGGTCCGCACAACATGGTTTAATCCTAGTTTAGTCCTGGTTTAGTCCTGGTTTAGTCCTGGTTTAGACCTGGTTTAAATCTAGTTTTAATCCTGGTATAGACCTGGTTTAGTCCTGGTTTAGTCCTGGTTTAGACCTGGTTTAGATCTAGTTTAGATCTAGTTTAGACCTAGTTTTAGTCCTGTTTTAGACCTGGTGTAGTCCTGGTTTAGACCTGGTTTAGTTTCTGGCAATGAGCAGAATTCCCGAAAAAAAAAAAAAAAAAAAAAAAAAAGGGATTTAGCCCAAAATGTGAAAACAGGAAAATACCACCATGTAATTCATTTATTTCGACAAAGTAACTGTAATCCAATTACCACTCATTAAAACAGTAACTGTAACTGAACACAGTTACTCATAATTTGTACTCTGATTACATAACTCCAGTACATGTAATCTGTTACTCCCCAACACTGTACATAAATATACAAAAACATGATACAAAACTGTCCACAGCAACTTGACAAACCTGGTGTGATGTGTAGGCGTTTCATTAGTGATGCACACTGACTGTGCTGTGAAGGGGGAGTGATGTTTGGAAACGTACATGTTAATACATTGTTTTGGGTGACGCGTTTGCAAAACAGTACAAGGAAACATGGGGATTTAAATGTGTTGTGTGTTACAGTTAATGCCCCATAGGTGTAAAATACCCTTCTTTAAAGGTCTACTATAAACCTTTTTTGTTGGGGGTTGTATGAACATGCAGCATGAAAGGATGAAACAGAGTCATGCAACTATGAAGATCAGCACATGAGGTCTAGAAACTATACCTTCTCTTTGCTAGATGATCTGTGCATCCGAGGTGACGGAGCAAGTATCATAGAACACATGCTCTAAACCTGAAGACACAAAGTCAAGCCCACAGATACCACACCACAGAACAGAAGGGATTTTCACTGTAGAACAGACGAGTATGAAACTCCAAATGACCAAGACACAGACGCTCACACTCCAGCCTGTTTTAGTGAAAATATTATCTATCATTTTATAATTGAAGTGAAAAATGGGCAGACAGTAAGTGCTTTGTGCATTTGTGGACAGGAGGAGGTCTGTGCTTTTCTCTCCTCTGGATGTGACCAGAGTTTGCTTTCTCTGGTTCAGCTGCAGGTTCTTTTAAACCTTCAGTATCTTCAGGATTCATTTGGACATAATGATGGGGATGACTCTGAATGAGACAGCCATCCAGACTGGGACTGGTCCAGTTCTGGGGACGGGTCCAGTTCTGGGGACGGGTCCAGTTCTGGGGACAGGCTTTAAGTCTGTGCTCTAACCAGGACTGGGCTGTGCATCAGGCTCAGTCACAGCTGTATTTGCTTTATTTCTATTTCCATGTTATAACACTGTTCCCTCATCACAAACAGGTCTGAAAAGGTTTTAGATAACAGACATGCATGTTTGAGTAATATAGTGATCTCTTGAAAGCCCGAATCCTCCTAAAAGAAAAAAGGGAATATATTATTTTCAGCAAATATCCTATAGCATTTTCAAAACAATAAAAGGAAGCATGGTGTTCTAAATCTGTTCTGTGTTACTCTTATTATTCAATAGAAGTAAAATCCTCCCTTTTTAAGATGTCCACACACTTCACTAAATGTTAAGGCTCTGTGAGGAGACTGTTTTTCAATTTCTCCAGTGCCTTTAACACAATCCAGCTCTTTCTGATGAGTGAGAAGCTGCTCAGGATGGTGTCAGCTCCTCCAGTGTCTCCTGGATTACTGACTACCTGTCAGGCAGGCCTCAGTACGTGCGACAGGGAGCACCCTGTCTGATAATGTGATCAGTAATAGGAGTCCCCCAGGGTACAGTCCTGTCTCTGTTTCTGTTCACTCTGTTCACCTCTGATTTCCAGTACAGCTCTGGGTCCTGCACCTGCAGAAGTTCTCTGGTGACTCTGTGGTGGTTGGGTGTATCACAGATGGACAGGTGCTGGGACAGGTGCTGGGACAGGTGCTGGGACAGGTGCTGGGACAGGTGCTGGGGTGTATCAGAGTTGATCAGGAGCTGGAGAACAAGACACTGATTGCAAACTTTATGGAGTGGTGGAGGAAGAGGACACCAGTGGAGCCCGTCACCATCCAGGACCATGAGGTGGAAATAGTGACTGATACAAGAACCTCGACATCCAGATGAACAACAGACTGGACTGGAGGGACAACAGTAACACTGTGTACAAGAAGAGCATGACTGGACTCGACTTCCTGAGAAAGATCAGGTCTTTCAATGTGTGCAGCAAGTTACTGGAGATCTTCTCCCAGTCTGTGGAGACCAGCTCCCTGAACCTGGCTGTGATCTGCTTGGGGAGCAGCTCCAGGTAAAGGGACACTGGGCAAATCGACAAACTGATCTGTAAAAAACATTTGTCACAGTGAGGGACACAAGGATTGTTTTCTCTTTGTTATTCTGTTATATTGTGATGTGTGACTCCTGTGTCCAAATCATTTCCTTGTAGATCAATAAAGTTTGTTCCTCATCACAAACAAACCTGGAGTTGTGTTTTGTTGAAGTCTATTGCCAACAAAGACACAGTGGAGCTGGACTTTCAAAGTAACTTTTTTGGACTTTCTAAGTCATTTTTATGCAAGTTTCACTTTGTATTTCCAGAATAAAATGACAAATTATTGGAATAGGCCTTATTTATTTGGTTCTGTTTTAGAGTTTAGGCTAGAGGGCAATTTTCAAGTGTGTTGAGCAAACCTCTAAATATTCATTAATTTGCATAAAATTTGGATCCAAACATTTTGGCCAGATATGGAACCAAACGCAAGATTCTAATCTAGAGAACCTGAAAAAATATTTTTTTGGACCTCCCTAATATGTGTATGTATGTTTTTGATGAAATAACAGCATTAGAACATGAACAGGGAATGTTAATTCAGGGAAGAAACACACAAACAAAACAAAAAAATTAACATCCGTTTGTCCAGTCTGTCAGTCTGCAGTCCTGCCCCCCCCCCCCCCCCCCCCCCCCCCGGGTCGTGCCCCTCCTCCCTCCCCCGCCCCCTCCCGCGCTCAGCCTCCCGGTGCAGCCCCGCGCAGCTCTCATCCACACTGCAGAGTTGGCTTTGGACTGGACCGGAGCAGAGCGCACGGAACACGCAGTGGATTTGTCCGGCTCCGGGTTAAACATGGCTCTTCTCCCCAGAGGACTGGCGCTCGTCTTGGTGCACGTTTGCCTCCTGCACAGCGGTGAGTGTCTGCTCCGTCCCGGGGCTTTTCAGCACAAAGTTTACGGCGAGTCTAGTGTGCAGCAACAGCGCGGTGTCTGCGAGTCTGGCTGGAGCACCGCGGACCCTGCGCTCATGATCACGATGTGCAGCTTACAGTCGCTGTTAGGAGAAGCTTTTGGAAGATGTTGGGCAGTTGATCATAGAGTTTGGGGCTTTTGTCAAATCAGAATATCGAGTGTATTGTCTAGAATGATGCTTCAACTATTTCTTTAAATTAACCCGAATAACAAGCGTCTTTTAATCTCACAAACAATGGAATAAAGTGATATTTCTGCACGTACGTTTATGCTTTGTGCTAGATATGAACCTCAGCTAAAAGGCACATTTGAGCACATTCCTGATGAATTTGTAAAAAGGTGATTTTTTTGTGCATATCGTGTCTCAAGTGCACGCGTACTGTTGACGTTCTGCGCACGCTTTGAGCACAAACAGAAATAGCGTAACTCGGCTCGACTCGGAGAAACGGGAGAAACAGCTTCAGTCCGAAAACATGACCCCCGTGCGTGCCACCCTCGCGCTGTTATTGCGCTTTCGGCCCGTAACAACGCCGCTCCAAACCGCAGCCGTTCCCTCACTCACAGTCACCCGTCCCGCAAAGTGCTTTTCCAGGACGGTCCTCCCACGCGCTCGGGTCGCTCCAGTGGGAGGGCCCGAACCGCTGTGACCGGTGTTAGAGCCACTTCTGTCTGCCCAGAACCGACTTTCTACTCTCTGTGTTGCTACATACCAAGATCATGCACAAAACATACAGAAGTCGTAGAGTTTTTTGGGTTACAACAAAGCGTATTTCTGCAGTGTTCAGTTTGCACTTTTGTCTGAACATGATATTAAAGGGTTCATGTTACACTTTCCAATCTCTGTTATAATGTTTCCTCGTGATAAAGTCATATTTTGTTTCATTCACACCCTTTATTATTTCTCTGTCTACATCTCCAAAGCTCAAACTGCACTGTTCCACCTTGTGATGTCATAAAGTGGTAGCTGTAGTGATGTAACGATATCCAAACCTCTCGGGACGATATTATCACTATGTGCATTTCACAGTATGATATTTCTTCCGATATTTTGGAGTGGCAAGTATAATTCTAGATAAGACACTTTTTTGCTTTTAATTATTAATGTCAGAATCTCAAGAATTCAACTAAAAAATGTATTTCTTCATGTTGTCTGAGCTGAAATGAATCATGGGACATGTAGTTCCTGATGTTTAATAGCTGTTCCTACTAAAAAACAATGCATTTATGCAAAGGAACTTGTAATCCGATATACTGTGACAGCTCTCGATATTATTGTGACACTTTTGAAGATACGATATTTCAGATATTGTTCCATTCCTAGGTAGCTGTCAAATTAACAGCTACTTTTTACCTTATGTTTAGTAAAGATTTGAAATCCCAGGGCTGAAATCACCCAAATGATTCAAATGAAGGTGTGTGGTGTTTAAAAACACAGTGGAGCACTTCCTGTATTACCATGGCATCACAAGTTGGAAGTGTTTTCAAAGTGCAAAGTGTTTTGTGCCTAAATATTCAGGATTTATGTGTTAATTATGTGTGAATGAATCAAAACAAAACTCCAGGTGTGTTTGTGATGAGGAAACATTAGAACAGATCAGAAAAGGCCCTTTAAAGAATATTGAACCACAAAAGCTGCTCTCATTGCAAATCGGGGAATGGAGATGCATTTCTCTGCAGGCAGAAGTCGGCATAACATTGTCTTTTCCCGGACCTGTCCCCTCCAGACCTGTCCCCTCCTGTCCGGCTCTTAATTGGGTTATGGGCCTAATCCTGCCCCCTCTGTCGGGGGCAAAGCTGTCTGTTTTGGGATTAGGGCTCCACGTCTCGGGTTCTACTCTTTGAACTTGTACAAGGACACAGGCTGTGGAAGGATGTATGCTGTAGAAGCTCACGGGCTGTAGAAGCTCACGGGCTGTAGAAGCTCACGGGCTGTAGAAGCTCACGGGCTGTAGAAGCTCACGGGCTGTAGAAGCTCACGGGCTGTAGAAGCTCACGGGCTGTAGAAGTTCACGGGCTGTAGAAGCTCACGGGCTGTAGAAGCTCACGGGCTGTAGAAGGACACGGGCTGTAGAAGGACACAGGCTGTAGAAGGACGTAGGCCCTGGTTCCACTGGTCTGTCTGGTCTGCTGTCTTGATCTTTTAACCATGTTTAGAGTTTTAGTATGTTTCTTCTCATTGACTCTGCAGTTGTGTTTACAGTGATTCATGCATGTTTGTTTAAAGTCTTTATTCAACTGTATTCAAAACGTCATTGCTCAGATTGACTCCTGTTTTCACCCACTGTGATGCACGCACCTCCTTCTCCACTTTTATTTTCTTTATCGGTGGTACATGTAGGATGTGCAGCTGTCCACAGGAGGGGCCACAGGAGGGGCCACAGGAGGGGCCACAGCATGCGGCGCTTTGTTGTGATGACATTTACAGTGACGTCATCTCCCACTGGGCACCACAGTTTTCTAACACAGAAATCATCAGACTTGTTTCTTTTATTTAGTTGTTTTAGATGAATATTGTGATTTAAAATGTCCAAATGATAACATAATGATCCATATATGCACAGATTATAACTACAAAGCAGACACAAGCACAATAAATCTGCTTTAAACCAGGACTAAACAGGAGCCGGGAAACCTACTGAAGCAGGACTAGACTTGGACCAAAACCAAGATTAGCACCAAGTCAGTAAAAGATGAAATAAACTTGGACTGAACTAGATAAAAATAAAAATGAGGACTAATCCAAACATGGTGAAAGAGTTGGTATTTGACTTCTGTGGGGGATTAACTGTAACACAGAACATATTTAATTACCATGTTCACTTTTTGTAAATGAAATATTCCCCCCAAAACAACATATTCATATGTTTTATAAGTTTCCGTTTTGTTTTTGATGCTCTGAGTCCTCCCTCACTTTGCTCCCCGAGTCAAGTCACTCCCCCTTCAGAGCGCTACAACAACACAGCCAGCGTGCGTCCTGCTAATGAAACTACTGCACGTCACATCAAGTTGCTGTGTATGGTTTTGCATCATGTTTTTGTATATTGATAGAGAATTGTTGTGTGGGGAACAGGTGATGTAGGCTTGTGGGCGGAGCCTTGTACGGAATCTTACAACTAACTGCAAGTAGGTGTGTAGAATCCCTCAGTCGTCCAGGTAGAATTCATGGCAAAGGAGAAATTCAGTTTGTCAAATGGACAAACGTTTATTTAGTTCGAAAAGAAAACGTTCATCCAAGCTGCTTCTTCAAGCTGCTTCTTCAGACGCTGGACGACACTTCCTTATATCTGCCTGAAGGGAGCAGCTAACTACACTGAAACTACTCTGAATCTAAGGCTACGTTCAGACTGCAGGGCTTAACGCTCAATTCCGATTTTTTTGTGAAATCCGGTGTTTTTGCGAGGTCATTCACATTTCCAATTAAATGCAACTTGTATGTGATCCCCAGTGTGAACGTTAAACGGCCCGAAAGTGTCCCACATGTGACACTGGAGACACGACGACGTCAACCACAGTGAGCGTGCTCTGTGTTTACGGAAGTTGTCCAACCATGGACGCAGCATTGAGCACCTGGAGATTTTAAAGTTCCTCTCGTACCGGAGCCAGAAAATGAACAACTTACTTGTTTTAAGGAGGAGATTGAGAAGAAGAAGGATGAGGTTTTTGGCCGTGGCGTTTTGTGGGACAGCGGCAGCGACGTCCGATGAAAGGAACGTGTGGATGTGGAGACGGAGCCAAGAGTGGTGAGTGGTGATGTGCTTCACTTCAGTGACACGGAGTTCATTAACAATTTTCGCCTACTTCAGCGCAGAATAGCGACGCTTGTGTCTTGTTGAGAACATGTAGGTCGGATGATGCGCTTTGGCCGTTCACACTGAAGTCACATGTCAAAAGATCAGATATGTATCGGTTTTAGGAGCACATATCCAAAAATCGGATCTGCGTCGTTCAGACTGTCATTAAAAGATCAGATACAGGAACATAGACGCCAAAAAATCAGATTTGGGTCACTTCAGTCTGCAGTCTGAATGCAGCCTAACACTCTACTAGTGTGCAGGCTGATAATAGGCTGTGTCCTGCAGCATCTGACCAGAAGTGAAGATGCAGCTTGGATGAGTTGTGAAACATTTTCAACCTAAGTAAATGTTTGTCCAGTTGACAAATTGAATTTCTCCTTTACAACTGTAAGCAGGGTTTGAACAGGACCCGGGAGAGATCACTAAATTACTCAAACATGTATGGATGACATCTAAAACCTCTTCAGAGCTAAACAACAACAATAACAACAAAAACTGCATAAACCCCTTCTTTAAGTTAAGCTATGAATAAACAGGTTGTAAAGCAGGTCTGCAGCACAGATCTAAACTGGATTAAAGCAGACGACATCAGAATAAAGCAGCAGAGTGCAGCAGGCTCTAACTCTCTCTGCCTCGGTCCACTTTAACAACAGATATAATAACTGTGTTGGACATAAAGTCAAATGTCACGTTTTGTCTATAATGTGAGATACAGAAAAGTATAACCCAGAACTTTACACAGTTGTTGCAGAATTACAATATCAAATATATATTCTTTAAAGTGGGGGTATTATGCAAAATTAACCTGATGTGAAGTAGTTTTGTTGGGGAGACGCACGCTGATTGTGTTGTGATAGTGCTCTGAAGGGGGAGTGACTTAATGTGGAGAGCAAAGGCAGAGGAGACTGAGAGCCTGTTGTTTTTGTCAAATATCGCATTTTCAGTTAATACCCCATAGAAGTCAAATACTCCATCTTTAGAAGTGTAATGCCCCCTTTTTTAAAACTATAATACATCTAGGGTCATGTAATCACCTACATAAGGGTATAAAGTTTTTGTTTTTTCTTTTGTGTTTTATTTTATAGTCTATTGCAAGGGTGCTCACACTTTTTCAGCATGCGAGTTACTTACAAAATGACCAAGTCATA